ATCAAACCCCCCAGGAAAGATCTCCCAGATTCCCAACAACACCAAACTTCCAAGAAAGGGAAACTTTCGGAGCAGTTGAAATATTGTAACGGGATCCTGAAGGAATTGTTGTCCAAGAAACACGCGGCGTACGCCTGGCCCTTCTACAAACCCGTGGACGCGTCGGCGCTGGGGCTGCACGATTATCACGATATCATCAAGCACCCCATGGACCTCAGCACCATCAAGGTAGGGATTTCTGGGAATTTCTGGAATTTCTGGAATTTCTGGAATTTTTGGGGATTTTTTTGGGAATTTTTTAGGATTTTTTTTGGAATTTTTTGGAATTTTTTAGGAATTTTTTAGGATTTTTTGGGAATTTTTTAGGGATTTTTTAGCAATTTTTTTGGATTTTTTAAGGGTTTTCTGAGATATTTTTTAGGGATTTTTAAGGATTTTTATGGGATATCTTATGTGATATTTTTGGGAAATTTTTGCAATTTTTAGGGGATTTTTTGAGGATTTTTTTTGTAATTTTTAGGGGTTTTTAGGGATTTTCTTAGCATTTCTTTTTACGATTTTTTGGGAATTTTTTAGGGATTTTTTAGCAATTTTTTTGGATTTTTTAAGGATTTTCTGAGGGGTTTTTTCAGGATTTTTAAGGATTTTTATGGGATATTTTATGTGATATTTTAGGGGAAGTTTTGCAATTTTTAGGGATTTTTTAAGGATTTTTTTATTATTTTTTGTGATTTTTTGGCGATTTTTTAAGGGGACTTTTAGGAGATGTTTAGCAATTTTTTTAGGGGTTTTTAGGGATTTTATTCAGGTATTTAGGATGTTTTTATGAGAATTTTTGTACAATTTTTTAGGACTTTTTTGGGATTTTTAGGGATTTTTTTTCAATTTTTAGGGATTTTTTAAGGATTTTTTTGGGATTTTTAGGGGATTTTTAAGGGGATTTTTTGGGTAATTTTTGGGCATTTTTTCGGATTTTTTAGTAGTTTTTAGGGATTTTCAACCCTTTTTTTTGTGTTTTTAGGGAGATTTTTTTGGGGAATTTTTGGGGTTTTAAGGGATTTTTTAGGAATTTTTTTAAGAATTTTTAGGGACTTTTTGGGGGATTTTTTTGGGATTTTTGGGGGTTTTGGTTGTACAAACCCGTGGACGCGTCGGCGCTGGGGCTGCACGATTATCACGATATCATCAAGCACCCCATGGACCTCAGCACCATCAAGGTAGGGATTTCTGGGAATTTCTGGAATTTCTGGAATTTCTGGAATTTTTGGGGATTTTTTTGGGAATTTTTTAGGATTTTTTTTGGAATTTTTTGGAATTTTTTAGGAATTTTTTAGGATTTTTTGGGAATTTTTTAGGGATTTTTTAGCAATTTTTTTGGATTTTTTAAGGGTTTTCTGAGATATTTTTTAGGGATTTTTAAGGATTTTTATGGGATATCTTATGTGATATTTTTGGGAAATTTTTGCAATTTTTAGGGGATTTTTTGAGGATTTTTTTTGTAATTTTTAGGGGTTTTTAGGGATTTTCTTAGCATTTCTTTTTACGATTTTTTGGGAATTTTTTAGGGATTTTTTAGCAATTTTTTTGGATTTTTTAAGGATTTTCTGAGGGGTTTTTTCAGGATTTTTAAGGATTTTTATGGGATATTTTATGTGATATTTTAGGGGAAGTTTTGCAATTTTTAGGGATTTTTTAAGGATTTTTTTATTATTTTTTGTGATTTTTTGGCGATTTTTTAAGGGGACTTTTAGGAGATGTTTAGCAATTTTTTTAGGGGTTTTTAGGGATTTTATTCAGGTATTTAGGATGTTTTTATGAGAATTTTTGTACAATTTTTTAGGACTTTTTTGGGATTTTTAGGGATTTTTTTTCAATTTTTAGGGATTTTTTAAGGATTTTTTTGGGATTTTTAGGGGATTTTTAAGGGGATTTTTTGGGTAATTTTTGGGCATTTTTTCGGATTTTTTAGTAGTTTTTAGGGATTTTCAACCCTTTTTTTTGTGTTTTTAGGGAGATTTTTTTGGGGAATTTTTGGGGTTTTAAGGGATTTTTTAGGAATTTTTTTAAGAATTTTTAGGGACTTTTTGAGGGATTTTTTGGGGGATTTTTGGGGGTTTTGGTTGTACAAACCCGTGGACGCGTCGGCGCTGGGGCTGCACGATTATCACGATATCATCAAGCACCCCATGGACCTCAGCACCATCAAGGTGAGTGAGAGATCAAGGTAGGGATTTCTGGGAATTTCTGGGATTTTTGGGGAATTTTTTGGATTTTTTTAGAATTTTTAAGGATTTTTTTTGGTATTTTTTAGGAATTTTTTTGGATTTTTTAGGAATTTTTTTGGATTTTTTTTAAGGATTTTTTGAGATTTTTTTAGGGATTTTTATGGGATATTTTATGTGATACTTTAGGGAAATTTTTGCAATTTTTAGGGATTTTTTTAGGATTTTCATGGTCGTTTTTAGGGTTTTTTAGGGATTTTCTTAGGATTTTTTTTTAGGATTTTTTGGGAATTTTTAGGGATTTTTTAGCAACTTTTTTGGTTTTTTTAAGGGTTTTCTGAGGGTTTTTTTAAGGATTTTTAAGGATTTTTATGGGATATTTTGTGTGATATTTTAGGGAAATTTTTGCAATTTTTAGGGATTTTTTGAGGATTTTTTTGGTCATTTTTAGAGGTTTTTTAGGGATTTTCTTAGGATTTTTTTTTTTTAGGATTTTTTGGGATTTTTTTTATTTTTTTAAGGATTTTTTGAGAGTTTTTAAGGGATTTTTAGGGATTTTTAGGGGATATTTTATGTGATATTTTAGGGAAATTTTTGCAATTTTTAGGGATTTTTTGAGGATTTTTTTGGTAATTCTTAGAGGTTTTTAGGGATTTTCTTAGGATTTTTTTTAGGATTTTTTGGGAATTTTTTAGGATTTTTTTTTTAATTTTTAAGGATTTTTTGGGATTTTTTTAGGGATTTTTATGGGATATTTTATGTGATATTTTAGGGAAATTTTTGCAGTTTTTAGGGATTTTTTTAGGATTTTTTTGGTCATTTTTAGGGGTTTTTAGGGATTTTTAAAGATTTTTATGGGATATTTTATGTGATATTTTAGGGAAATTTTTGCAATTTTTAGGATTTTTTTGAGGATTTTTTTGGTCATTTTTAGGGTTTTTTAGGGATTTTTAAGGATTTTTATGGGATATTTTATGTGATATTTTAGGAAAATTTTTGCAGTTTTTAGGGATTTTTTTGAGGATTTTTTTTGGGATTTTGGGTCTGGAAAAATTGAGGTTTCAGGATCCCTAGTGACCCTGCCATGACCCTTCCATGACCCTTCCATGACCCCACTGACCTTCCATGACCCCACTGACCATTCTATGACCTTTTTATGACCCTTCCATGACCCATTGACTTTTCCATGATTTTTCTATGACCTTCCCATGACCTCATTGACCTTTCCATGACCTTTCCATGACCCATTGACCTTTCCATGACTTTTCCATGACCCATTGACCTTTCCATGACTTTTCCATGACTCATTAACTCTTCCATGACCTTTCCATGACTCCATTGACCTTTCCATGACCCTTCCATGGCCTTCCATGACCTCACTGACCTTCCATGACTCCTCCATGACCTCATTGACCTTCCATGACCTTTCCATGATCCAATGACCCTTCCATGACCTTTCCATGATCCCATTGACCTCCCATGACCCACCATAATAACCCCATTCACATTCCATGACCTTACCATGATCTCATTGACCTTCCATGACCTTTCCATGACCCCATTGCCATTTCATGACCTTTCCATGACCCCGTTGACTTTTCCATGACCCTTCCATGACCTTCCATGATCTCATTGACGTTCCATGACCTTTCTATGATCTCATTGACCTTCCATGTTCTTTCCATGATCTCTCTGATCTTCCATGACCTTTCCATGACCTCATTACCATTCCATGACCCTTCCATGACCTGTCCATGACCTCATTGACCTTCCATGATCTTTCCATGACCCATTGACCTTTCCATGATTTTTCAATGACCTTGCCACGACCCCATGACCCTTCCATGACCTTACCATGACCTCATTGACCTTCCATGACCCTTCCATGACCCATTGACCATTCCATGACCTTTCCATGACCCCATTACCATTCCATGACTTTTCCATGACCTTCCATGATCTCATTGACCTTCCATGACCTTTCCATGATCTCTCTGGTCTTCCATGACCTTTCCACGATTTCTCTGACCTTCCATGACCTTTCCATGACCTCATTGGCCTTCCATGACCCTTCCATGATCTCACTGACCTTCCATGACCTTCCATGATCTCTCTGACCTTCCATGACCTTTCCATGACCTCATTGACCTTCCATGACCTTTCCATGACCCATTGACCATTCCATTAACCCTTCCATGACCCTTTGACCCTTCCATGACCCTTCCATGACCCCGTTGCCATTCCATGACTTTTCCATGACCCCGTTGCCATTCCATGGGCTTTCCATGACCTTCCATGACCTCATTGACCTTCCATGACCTTTCCATGATCTAATTGACCTTCCATGACCTTTCCGTGACCTCATTGATCTTCCATGACCTTTCCATGACCCCGTTGCCATTCCATGATCTTTCCATGACCACGTTGACTTTTCCATGACCTTTCCATGACCTTCCATGACCTCATTGACCTTCCATGACTTTTCCATGATCTCATTGACCTTCCATGACCTTTCCATGACCCCATTGCCATTCCATGACTTTTCCATGACCTTCCATGATCTCATTGACCTTCCATGACCTTTCCATGACCCTGTTGACTTTTCCATGACCCTTGCATGACCTCATTGACCTTCAATGACCCTTCCATGACCCATTGACCATTCCATGACCCTGCCATGACCCCGTTGCCATTCCATGACTTTTCCATGACCCCATTGCCATTCCATGACTTTTTCATGACCTTCCATGATCTCATTGACCTTCCATGACCTTTCCATGATCTCATTGACCTTCCATGACCTTTCCATGATCTCTCTGACCTTGCATGACCTTTTCATGATCTCTTTGACCTTCCATGACCCTTCCATGACCCATTGACCATTCCATGACCCTTCCATGACCCCATTGCCATTCCATGACCTTTCCATGACTCCGTTGACTTTTCCATGACCTTCCATGATCTCATCGACCTTCCATGACCTTTCCATGATCTCATTGACCTTCCATGACCCTTCCATGACCTCATTGACCTTCCATGACCTTTCCATGACCCCGTTGACCTTTCCATGACCCTTCCATGACTTCGTTGACCTTCCATGACCCTTCCATGACCCCATTGCCATTCCATGACTTTTCCATGACCTTTCCATGATCTCATTGATTTTCCATGACCTTTCCATGATTTCTCTGACCTTCCATGACCTTTCCATGACCTCTCTGACCTTCCATGACCTTTCCTTGCCCCTTTTCCCGACGTTCCCGGTTCTTTTCCCGGCAGCGGAAGATGGAGAACCGGGAATACCGCGACGCGCAGGAATTCGCCGCCGACGTCCGGTTGATGTTCTCCAACTGCTACAAGTACAACCCCCCTGACCACGACGTGGTGGCCATGGCCAGGAAACTCCAGGTGGGAATTCCCAAAATCCCCGGAATTCCCAAAATTCCCAAAATTCTGTCGCGTTTCAGAGGGAAAAAAAAAAAAAATTCCTTAAAAAATTCTTGAAAAATGTTTAAAAAAATGTAAAAAAAATATGGAAAATTTGTTGAAAATTTTTTGGGATTTCTCCAGGAATTTTTTGGGAAATCCTTGGAAAATCTCCTGGAAAATCCACGAAATTCTGGAAAAATCCGCCCCCAAAATTCCAGAAAAATCTCGGAAAATCTTTACTAAAAATGCCAAAAAAATACTAAAAAAATACTAAAAATTCTTGAAGAATTTCCTGGAATGTGTCTAGGAATTCTTGGGAAATCCTTGGAAAATCTCTTAAAAAATCCATGAAATTCCAGAAAAATCCACCCCAAAATTCCTAAAAAAATCTCCTGAAAATCCCCCAAAAAATGTAAAAAAAAAGTAAAAAAATACCAAAAATTTCTGAAGAGTTTTCTGGGATCTCTCCAGGAATTTTTTGGGAAATCGTTGGAAAATCTCCTGGAAAAACCACGAAATTCTGGAAAAATCCGCCCCCAAAATTCCGGAAAAATCTCGGAAAATCTTTACTAAAAATGCCAAAAAAATACTAAAAAAATACTAAAAATTCCTGAAGAATTTTCTGGAATCTCTCCAGGAATTCTTGGAAAATTCATGGAAAATCTCCTAAGAAATCCACGAAATTCTGGAAAAATTCACCCCAAAATTCCTGAAAAATTTCCTGAAAATACCCCAAAAAAATGTAGAAAAATTACCGAAAATTCCTGAAGAATTTTCTGGAATCTGTTTAGGAATTCCTGGAAAGTTCATGGAAAATCTCCTAAGAAATCCAGAAAATTCCAGAAAAATCCACCCCAAAATTCCTAAAAAAATCTCCTAAAAATCCCCCCAAAAAAGTAAAAAAAATACCAAAAATTTCTGAAGAGTTTTCTGGAATCTCTCCAGGAATTCCTGGAAAATTCATGGAAAATCTCCTAAGAAATCCACAAAATTCTGGAAGAATTCACCTCAAAATTCCTGAAAAATCTCCTGAAAATGCCCAAAAAAAAGTTAAAAAAACCCCAAAAATTCCTGAAGAATTTTCTGGAATCTGCTTAGGAATTCTTGGGAAATCCTTGGAAAATCTCTTAAAAAATCCATGAAATTCCAGAAAAATTCACCCCAAAATTCCTAAAAAAATCTCCTGAAAATCCCCCCACAAAATGTAAAAAAAATGTAAAAAAAATACCAAAAATTTCTGAAAAGTTTTCTGGGATCTCTCCAGGAATTTTTTGGGAAATCCTTGGAAAATCTCCTGGAAAATCCACGAAATTCTGGAAAAATCCACCCCCAAAATTCCGGAAAAATCTCGGAAAATCTTTACTAAAAATGCCAAAAAAAAATATAAAAAAAATACTAAAAATTCCTGAAGAATTTTCTGGAACGTGTCCAGGAATTCCTGGAAAATTCATGGAAAATCTGCTAAGAAATCCACAAAATTCCAGAAAAATCCATCCCAAAATCTCCTGAAAATGCCCAAAAAATGTAAAAAAACCCCAAAAATTCCTGAAGAATTTTCTGGAATCTCTCCAGGAATTCCTGGAAAATTCATGGAAAATCTCCTAAGAAATCCACAAAATTCTGGAAGAATTCACCTCAAAATTCCTGAAAAATCTCCTGAAAATGCCCAAAAAAAAGTTAAAAAAACCCCAAAAATTCCTGAAGAATTTTCTGGAATCTGCTTAGGAATTCTTGGGAAATCCTTGGAAAATCTCTTAAAAAATCCATGAAATTCCAGAAAAATCCACCCCAAAATTCCTAAAAAAATCTCCTAAAAATCCCCAAAAAAATGTAAAAAAAACACCAAAAATTCCTGAAAAATTTTCTGGAATCTCTCCAGGAATTTTTTGGGAAATCCTTGGAAAATCTCCTGGAAAATCCACGAAATTCTGGAAAAATCCACCCCCAAAATTCCGGAAAAATCTCGGAAAATCTTTACTAAAAATGCCAAAAAAAAATATAAAAAAAATACTAAAAATTCCTGAAGAATTTTCTGGAATCTCTCCAGGAATTCTTGGAAAATTCATGGAAAATTTCCTAAGAAATCCACAAAATTCTGGAATAATTCACCCCAAAATTCCTAAAAAGATCTCCTAAAAATCCCCAAAAAAATGTAAAAAAACCACCAAAAATTCCTGAAGAATTTTCTGGAATGTGTCTAGGAATTCTTTGGGAAATCCTTGGAAAATCTCTTAAAAAATCCATGAAATTCCAGAAAAATCCACCCCAAAATTCCTAAAAAAATCTCCTAAAAATCCCCAAAAAAATGTAAAAAAAACCCCAAAAATTGCTGAAGAATTTTCTGGAATCTGTTCAGGAATTCCTGGAAAATCTTTGGAAAATCTCCTGAAAAATCCACAAAATTCTGGAAAAATCCACCTGTTCAGGAATTCCTGGAAAATCTTTGGAAAATCTCCTGAAAAATCCACAAAATTCTGGAAAAATCCACCCCAAAATTCCTAAAAAAAATTTCCTATAAATGCCAAAAAAATGTAAAAAAAATATCAAAAATTCCTGAAAAATCCCAATAAAAAAAATCCCCAAAATTCCCTCAAATTTCCAAAAAAAATCCGGAGAAATCCCCAAAAAAATTCCAAAAAAATCCCCCAAAATATTTCCATGAATTCCTAAAATAAAAATGATGGAATTTTGGGGGTTATTTTTGGGAATAGGAGGTTTTTTTCCCATGGAAAATGATGGAATTTTCCTAAAATAAAAATGATGGAATTTTGGGGGTTATTTTTGGGAATAGGAGGTTTTTTTCCCATGGAAAATGATGGAATTTTGGGGTTTTTTGGGGAAATTTGGGAATTAATTTGGGAATTTGGGTTACTGGGAATGCTGGGAATGCCAAATCCAGGCAAATTGGAGCCTTTTTTCCATTGAAAATGATGGAATTTTGGGGATTTTGGGGTTTTTTGGGGAAATTTGGGATTTAATTTGGGAATTTGGGTTACTGGGAATGCTGGGAATGCCAAATCCAGGTGAACAGGAGCCTTTTTTCCATGGAAAATGACAGAATTCCAGGGATTTTGGGGTTTTTTGGGGAAATTTGGGAATGAATTTGGGAATTTGGGTTATTGGGAATGCTGGGAATGCCAAATCCAGGCAAATTGGAGCCTTTTTTCCATGGAAAACGATGAAATTCCAGGGATTTTGGGGTTTTTTGGGGAAATTTGGGAATGAATTTCGGAATTTGGGTTACTGGGAATGCTGGGAATGCCAAATCCAGGTGAACAGGAGCCCTTTTTTCCATTAAAAATGACAGAATTCCAGGGATTTTGGGTTTTTTTTTGAAATTTGGGAATGAATTTGGGAATTAGGGTTACTGGGAATGCTGGGAATGCCAAATCCAGGCAAATTGGAGCCTTTTTTCCATTAAAAATGACAGAATTCCAGGGATTTTTTGGGAATTTGGTTACTGGGAATATTGGGAATACTGGGAATGCCAAATCAATGTTAACAGAAGCCATTTCCCATGGAAAACAACAGAATTCCATGGATTTTTTGGGGAAAATTAGGGTTATTTGGAATACTGGGTACATTGGGAATACTGGGAATGCCAAATCCAGGCAAATTGGAGCCCTTTTTCCATGGAAAACGACAGAATTCCAGGGATTTTTTGGGAATTAGGGTTACTGGGAATGCTGGGAACACTGGGAATGCCAAATCCAGGCAAATTGGAGCCCTTTTTCCATGGAAAACAACAGAATTCCAGGGATTTTGGGGTTTTTTGGGGAAACTTGGGATTTAATTTGGGAATTTGGGTTATTGGGAATACTGGGAATATTGGGAATACTGGGAATGCCAAATCAATGTTAACAGAAGCCATTTCCCATGGAAAACAACAGAATTCCAGGGATTTTGGGCATTTTTTTTCCTGGGATCCGAGCAGATTCCCAGAATTGCCCAAATTCCCGGAATTCCCGCAGGACGTGTTCGAGTTCAGCTACGCCAAAATGCCGGACGAGCCTCAGGATTCCGGCGGCGCCGCGGCCTCGGCTCCGCTCCCCATTCCCAAATCCTCGTCCGAGGAATCGTCCAGCGAGGAGGAGGAGGAGGAAGAGGAAGAGGAGGAGGAGGAAGACGAGGAGAGCTCGACGGAAACGTCGTCGGAGAGCGAGGAGAGCTCGGATTCCGAGGAGGAGAGAGCGAATCGGCTGGCGGAGCTGCAGGAGCAGGTGGGGAAAATTGGGAAAGGATGGGGGGAAAAAATAGGGGAAAAGTTGGGAAAAACGGGGAAAAAAATGGGAAAAAATCGGGAAAAAGATTGGGGAAAAAACTAGGAAAAATTGGGAAAAATGGGGAAAAAATAGAGAAAAAATCAGGAAGAATTGGGGAAAAAATGGAGAAAATTGGAAAAAGATTGGGGAAAAAATGGGGAAAAAAATTGGGAAAAAGTTGGGAAATATGGGGAAAAAAATTGGAAAAAATTGGGAAAAAAATTGGGAAAAGTTGGGGAAAAGATTGGGAAAAAAATGGGAAAAATGGGGAAAAATATTAGGAAAAATCGGGAAAAAACAGGAGAAAATTGGAAAAAGATTGGGGGAAAATGGGGAAAAAAATTGGGAAAAAGTTGGGAAAAATGGGGAAAAAAATTGGAAAAAATTGGGAAAAGTTGGGGAAAAGATTGGGAAAAATGGGGAAAAATATCAGGAAAAATGGGGAAAAAACAGGAGAAAATTGGAAAAAGATTGGGGAAAAAATGGGAAAATATTGGGAAAAAAATAGGGAAAAATGGGGAAAAGTTGGGAAAAAGATTGGGGATAAAACTAGGAAAAATTGGGAAAAATGGGGAAAAAATAGAGAAAAAATTAGGAAAAATTGGGAAAAAAATTGGAGAAAATTGGAAAAAGATTGGGGAAAAAATGGGGAAAAAAATTGGGAAAAAGTTGGGAAATATGGGGAAAAAATTGGAAAAAATTGGGAAAAAATTGGAAAAAAAATTGGAAAAAATTGGGAAAAGTTGGGGAAAAGATTGGGAAAAAAAATGGGAAAAATGGGGAAAAATATCAGGAAAAATTGGGAAAAAAACAGGAGAAAATTGGAAAAAGATTGGGGAAAAATGGGGAAAAAATTAGGAAAAAGTTGGGAAAAATGGGGAAAAAAATTGGGAAAAGTTGGGGAAAAAATTGGAAAAAATTGGGAAAAGTTGGGGAAAAGATTGGGAAAAATGGGGAAAAATATCAGGAAAAATGGGGAAAAAACAGGAGAAAATTGGAAAAAGATTGGGGGGAAATGGGGAAAAAAATTGGAAAAAATTGGGAAAAGTTGGGGAAAAGATTGGGAAAAAATTGGGAAAAACAGAGAAAAAATCAGGAAAAATTGGGGAAAAAATGGAGAAAATTGGAAAAAGATTGGGGAAAAAATGGGGAAAAAAATTGGGAAAAAGTTGGGGAAAATGAGGGAAAATATTGGGAAAAAAAATTGGGAAAAGTTGGGGAAAAGATCGGGAAAAACGGGGAAAAATATCAGGAAAAATGGGGGAAAAAACAGGAGAAAATTGGAAAAAATAGGGGAAAAGTTGGGGAAAAGATTGGGAAAAAATTGGGAAAAATGGGGAAAAATATCAGGAAAAATCGGGGAAAAAACAGGAGAAAATTGGAAAAAGATTGGGGGAAAATGGGGAAAAAAATGGGGAAAAATTGGGAAAAGTTGGGGAAAAGATTGGGAAAAAATTGGGGAAAATGGAGAAAAATATCAGGAAAAATGGGGAAAAAACCAGGAGAAAATTGGAAAAAGATTGGGGAAAAATGGGGAAAAAAATTGGGAAAAATGGGGAAAAATGGGGAAAAAATAGGGAAAAATATCAGGAAAAATTGGAGAAAATTGGAAAAAGATTGGGGGGGGAAAAAATAGGGAAAAATATCAGGAAAAATTGGAGAAAATTGGAAAAAGATTGGGGGAAAAATGGGAAAAATGGGGAAAAAAGTTGGGAAAAAATGGGGAAAAAATTGGGAAAAAATTGGGAAAAATTGGGAAAAATGGAGAAAAAAATTGGGAAAAATGGGGAAAAAAAGGAGAAAAATTAAGAAAAAATAGGGAAAAAATCAGGAAAAATTGGGGAAAAAATTGGAGAAAATTGGAAAAAGATTGGGGAAAAAATTGGGAAAAATGGGGAAAAAAATTGGGAAAAAATGGGGAAAAAATTGGGAAAAATGGGGAAAAATATTGGGAAAAAGTTGGGAAAGAAGTGGGAAAAAAATTGGAAAAAAGATTGGGAAAAATGGAGAAAAAACTGGGAAAAATGCGGAAAAAATCAAGGGAAAAATGGGGAAAAAATAGTAAAAAATTCACAAAAAATCATTAAAAAATCCAAAAAAAATGGGAAAAGAATTTAGAAAAGCAGGAAAAAATTATGAAAAAATTGGGAAAGAAGTGGGAAAAAATCATGGGAAAATTGGGGAAAATTGGGGAAGAAATGGGAAAGAATAGGAAAAAAATCAAGAAAAATTGGGAAAGAAGTAGAAAAAACCTGGGAAAAATGATAAAAAATGGGGATAAAACTAGGAAAAAAAATAGGAAAAAAGAGAGAAAAAGCAAGAAAAAAAAGGGAAAAAAATTATGAAAAAACTGGGAAAAATTGGGAAAGAAACGGGAAAAAATTGTGAAAAATTATGAAAAATTGGGATAAAACTAGGAAAAAAAATAGGAAAAAAGAGAGAAAAACCAAGAAAAAAATGGGAAAAAAATTATGAAAAAGCATGAAAAAATTGGGAAAGAAATGGGAAAAAATTGGGAAAAATTGTGGAAAAATTGGGAAAGAAATGGGAAAAAATTGGGAAATAAATGGGAAAAAATTGGGAAAAGTCAGGAAAAAATGGGAAAAAATTAAGAAATACCCAACAAAAAACTCAGAAAAAATTAAGGAAAAAACGGGGGAAAAAATTGTAAAAAATCCACAAAAAATCATTAAAAAATCTCCACAAAAAATCATTAAAAAATCCGAAAAAAATGGGAAAATAATTTGGAAAAGCAGGAAAAAATTATGAAAAAATTGGGAAAGAAGTGGGAAAAAATCATGAAAAAACTGGGAAAAATTGGGAAAAGAAATGGGGAAAAATTATGAAAAAATTGGGGAAAATTGGGAAAGAAATGGGGAAAAATTGGGAAAGAAATGGGAAAAATTGGGAAAGAAATGTGAAAAAATAGGGAAAAATTATGAGAAAATTGAGAAAAATTGGGAAAGAAATGGGAAAAATTGGGAAAGAAATGGGAAAAAATTGTGAAAAATTGTGGAAAAATTGGGAAAAGTCAGGAAAAAATTAAATACCCAAGAAAAAACGGAGAAAAAATTACAGGAAAAATGAGGAAAAAATAGTAAAAAAATTCACAAAAAATCATTAAAAAATTAAAAAAAAATGGGAAAATAATTTGGAAAAGCAGGAAAAAATTATGAAAAAATTGGGAAAGAAGTGGGGAAAAATTGGGGAAAATTGGGAAAGAAATGGGAAAAAATGGTGAAAAAATATGAAAAAATTGGGAAAGAAGTGGGGAAAAATAGGGAAAAATTATGAAAAAATTGGGAAAGAAATGGGGAAAAATGGTGAAAAATTATGAAAAAGTTGGGGAAAATTGGGAATGAAATGGGAAAAAATTGGGAAAAATTATGAAAAAATTGGGAAAAATTGGGAAAGAAATGGGAAAAAATTGTGAAAAATTGTGGAAAATTTGGGAAAAATTGGGAACGAAATGGGAAAAAATTGGGAAAAATTATGAAAAAATTGGGAAAGAAATGGGGAAAAATTGTGAAAAATTGTGGAAAAATTGGGAAAGAAATGGGAAAAAATTGGGAAATAAATGGGAAAAAATTGGGAAAAGTTAGGAAAAAATGGGAAAAAATTAAGAAATACCCAACAAAAAACTCAGAAAAAATTAAGGATAAAACGGGGGAAAAAATTGTAAAAAATCCACAAAAAATCATTAAAAAATCCGAAAAAAATGGGAAAAAATTTGGAAAAGCAGGAAAAAATTATGAAAAAATTGGGAAAGAAGTGGGAAAAAATCATGGAAAAATTGGGGAAAATTGGGGAAGAAATGGGAAAAAATGGTGAAAAAATATGAAAAAATTGGGAAAAATTGGGAAAGAAATGGGAAAAAATTGTGAAAAATTATGAAAAAATTGGGAAAGAAGTGGGGAAGAAATGGGAAAAATTATGAAAAAATTGGGGAAGAAATGGGAAAAAAATGGGAAAAATTGGGAAAGAAATGGGAAAAAATTGTGAAAAATTGTGGAAAAATTGGGAAAGAGATGGGAAAAAATTAAGAAATACCCAAGACAAAACGCAGAAAAAATTACGGGAAAAATGAGGAAAAAATAGTAAAAAATCCACAAAAAATCATTAAAAAATCCGAAAAAAATGGGAAAATATTTGGAAAAGTGGGAAAAAATTATGAAAAAATTGGGAAAGAAGTGGGAAAAAATCATGGGAAAATTGTGGAAAAAATGGGAAAAAATTGGGAAAATTTATGAAAAAGTTGGGAAAAACTGGGAAAGAAATGGGAAAAATTATGGAAAAATTGGGAAAGAAATGGGAAAAAATTGTGAAAAATTATGAAAAAATTGGGAAAAATTGGGGAAGAAATGGGAAAAAAATGGGAAAAATTGTGGAAAAAATTGGGAAAAATTGGGAAAGAAATGGGAAAAAATTAAGAAATACCCAAGAAAAAACGGAGAAAAAATTAAGGGAAAGATTAGGAAAAAAGAGTAAAAAATTCACAAAAAATCATTAAAAAATCTGAAAAAAATGGGAAAAAATTCCAGAAAAACGGGAAAAAATTCGGAAAAGCGGGAAAAAATTCCCGGGAAATGGGGACGGGAATGCGGCTCCGGGATTCGCGGCACTGTCCCGTCCTTGCCTCCGCAGCTGCGCGCCGTGCACGAGCAGCTGGCCGCGCTCTCGCAGGGCCCCGTGTCCAAACCCAAACGGAAACGGGAGAAGAGGAAGAGGAAGAAAACGGAAAAGCACAAAGGGAGGGCGGGGCCCGAGGAGGAAACGCGAGCGAGGCAGGCGCAGCTCCGGAGAGCGCGGAAAGGATCGGCCGGAACGGCTCCCAAGTGAGCATCTGGGATTTTTGGGAATGGTTTATTTGGATTTAGGAATGGTTTATTGGGATTTGGGAATGGTTTATTGGGGTTTAGGAATGGTTTATTGGGATTATTGGGATTTAGGAATGGTTTATTGGGATTTAGGAATGGTTTATTGGGATTATTGAGATTTAGGAATGGTTTATTGGGATTTAGGAGGGATTTATTAGGATTATTGGGGTTTGGGAATCGTTTATTGGGATTTGGGAATGGTTTATTTAGGAATGGATTATTGGGATTTAAGAATGGTTTATTAGGATTTAGGAGGGGTTTATGGGGATTATTGGAATTTGGGATTTAGGAATGGTTTATTGGGATTTAGGAATGGTTTATTTGGATTTGGGAATGGTTTATTTGGATTATTGGGATTTAGGAATGGTTTATTGGGGTTTAGGAATGGTCTATGGGGATTATTGAGATTTAGGAACGGTTTATTGGGGTTTGGGAATGGTTTATTGGGATTTAGGAATGGTTTATTGGGATTGTTGGGATTTGGGAATGGTTTATTGAGGTTTAGGAATGGTTTATTGGGGTTTAGGAGGAGTTTATTTGGATTATTGGGATTTAGGAATGGTTTATTGGGATTTAGGAATGGTTTATTGGGATTTAGGAATGGTTTATTGGGGTTTGGGAATGGTTTATTAGGATTTAGGAATGGTTTATTTAGGAATGGTTTATTTGGATTTGGGAATGGTTTATTTGGATTTGGGAATGGTTTATTGGGATTTAGGAATGGTTTATTGGGATTTAGGAATGGTTTATTGGGATTTGGGAATGGTTTATTTGGGAATGGTTTGTTGGGATTTAGGAGGGGTTTATTGAGATTTAGGAATGGTTTATTTAGGAATGGTTTATTGGGATTTGGGATTTGGGAATGGTTTATTGGGATTTGGGCGAGGCAGGCGCAGCTCCGGAGAGCGCGGAAAGGATCGGCCGGAACGGCTCCCAAGTGAGGATGGGGGATTTTTGGGAATGGTTTATTGGGATTGTTGGGATTTGGGAATGGTTTATTGGGATTTGGGAGTGGTTTATTGGGATTGTTGGGATTTGGGAATGGTTTATTGGGATTTGGGAGTGGTTTATTGGGGTTTAGGAATGGTTTATTTGGATTATTGGGGTTTGGGAATGGTTTATTGGGATTTGGGAATGGTTTATTGGGATTTGGGAATGGTTTATTGGGATTTGGGAATGGTTTATTTCGGATTTAGGAATGGTTTATTTGGATTTGGGAACGGTTTATTGGGGTTTGGGAATGGTTTATTGGGATTTGGGAATGGTTTATTTGGATTTAGGAATGGTTTATTTAGGAATGGTTTATTGGAATTTGGGAATGGTTTATTTAGGAATGGTTTATTGGGATTTAGGAGGGGTTTATTTGGATTATTGAGATTTGGGATTTGGGAATGGTTTATTTGGATTTAGGAATGGTTTATTGGGGTTTGGGAATGGTTTATTGGGGTTTGGGAATGGTTTATTTGGATTTAGGAATGGTTTATTTGGGATTTAGGAATGGTTTATTTGGATTTGGGAATGGTTTATTTGGATTATTGAGATTTAGGAACGGTTTATCTGGGATTTAGGAATGGTTTATTTGGGATTTGGGAATGGTTTATTTGGGATTTGGGAATGGTTTATTTGGGATTTGGGAATGGTTTATTGGGATTTAGGAATGGTTTATTGGGATTTAGGAATGGTTTATTCGGGATTTAGGAATGGTTTATTTGGATTTGGGAATGGTTTATTTAGGAATGGTTTATTTGGATTTAGGAATGGTTTATTGGGGTTTGGGAATGGTTTATTTGGGATTTGGGAATGGTTTATTTGGATTTGGGAATGGTTTATTTGGATTATTGGGCGAGGCAGGCGCAGCTCCGGAGAGCGCGGAAAGGATCGGCCGGAACGGCTCCCAAGTGAGGATTTGGGATGGGATTATTTGGGATTGTTGGGATTTAGGAGGAGCTTAAAAAATTACAAAAAAACCCCAAAAATCCCCAAAAGAATCACAAAAATCCCCAAAAAAATCCCACGAAAAATTACAAAAGAATCACAAAAAATTACCACAAAAAACCCCAAAATTCCAAAAATCCCCCCCAACAAATCCCCCCAAAAAATCACCAAAAAATCCAAAAAATTTCCCAAAAAAATCCAAAAAATGCTCCAAAAAAACCACAAAAAAGTCCCAAAAATTTCTCCAAAAATTACAAAAAATCCCCCCAAAAAATCCCCAAAAAAATCACAAAAAAATTACAAAATAATGCAAAAAATCCTAAAAAAATCCCCAAAATTCCCCAAAAACCCAAAAAAATCCCCAAAAAATTCACAAAAAAATTACAAAACAATCCAAAAAATCCCTAAAAATCCCGAAAAAAATCACAAAAAATTACAAAATTATCCAAAAAATAAAAAAAACAAAAAAAAATCCCAAAAAATTCCCCAAAAATTACAAAATAATCCAAAAAATCCCTAAAAATCCCCCCAAAAAATTCACAAAAAAATTACAAAATAATCCAAAAAAATCCTAGAAAAATCCTTAAAAATCCCAAAGAAATTCATAAAAAAAATTTACAAAATAATCCAAAAAATCCTAAAAAATGTTTTTAAAAAAATCCCTAAAAATCCCCCAAAACATTTCACAAAAAAAATTCACAAAAAAATTACAAACTAATCCAAAAAAATCCTAAAAAAATCCTTAAAAATCCCCAAAGAATTCACAAAAAAATTACAAAATAATCCAAAAAAATCCCAAAAAAAATCACAAAAAAATTACAAAATAATCCAAAAAATCCTAAAAAAATATAAAAAAAAATCCCTAAAAAACCCAAAAAAATTCACAAAAAAATTACAAAATAATCCAAAAAATCCTAAAACAATCCTTAAAAATCCCAAAAAAATTCACAAAAAAATTACGAAATAATCCAAAAAAATCCTAAAAAAATCCTTAAAAATCCCAAAAAATTCACAAAAAAAATTACAAAATAATCCAAAAAATCCCAAAACAATCCTTAAAAATCCCAAAAAAATTCACTAAAAATATTACAAAATAATCCAAAAAAATCCTAAAAAAGTTATAAAAAATCCCTAAAAAATCAAAAAAAATTCACAAAAAAATTACAAAATAATCCAAAAAATCCTAAAAAAATCCTTGAAAATCCCAAAAAAATTCACAAAAAAATTACAAAATAATCCAAAAAAATTATAAAAAAATCCCTAAAAATCCCCCCAAAAATTCACGAAAAAATTACAAAGTAATCCAAAAAATGCTAAAACAATCCTTAATATAAAAAAATCCCTAAAAATCCCCCCAAAAATTCACGAAAAAATTACAAAGTAATCCAAAAAATGCTAAAACAATCCTTAAAAATCCCAAAAAAATTCACAAAAAAATTACAGAATAATCCAAAAAACCCTAAAAAATTTTAAAAAAATTCCCCAAAAAATCCAAAAAAAATCACAAAAAAAATTACAAAATAATCTAAAAAATCCTAAAACAACCCTTAAAAATCCCCAAAAAATTCACACAAAAAATTACGAAATAATCAAAAAAAATCCTAAAAAAATTCACAAAAAAATTAGGAAATAATCCAAAAAATCCTAAAAAAATCCTTAAAAATCCCAAAAAAATTCACAAAAAAATTACAAAATAATCCAAAAAATCCTAAAAAAATCCTTAAAAATCCCAAAAAAATTCACAAAAAAAATACAAAATAATCAAAAAAATCCTAAAAAAATTAAAAAACCCCTAAAAATCCCCAAAAAATTCTCAAAAAAATTACAAAATAATCCAAAAAAATCCTTAAAAATCCCCAAAAAATTCACTAAAAATATTACAAAATAATCTAAAAAATCCTAAAAAAATTTAAAAAAATTCCCCAAAAAATCAAAAAAAATTCACAAAAAAATTACAAAATAATCCAAAAAATCCTAAAAAAATATAAAAAAAAATCCCTAAAAATCCCCCAAAAAATTCACAAAAAAATTACAAAATAATCCAAAAAAATCCCTAAAAATCACAAAAAAATTCACAAAAAAAATTACAAAATAATCCAAAAAATCCTAAAACAATCCTTAAAAATCCCAAAAAAATTCACAAAAAAATTACGAAATAATCCAAAAAATCCTAAAAAAATATTTTAAAAAAATCCCTAAAAATCCCCCAAAAAATTCACAAAAAAAATTACAAAATAATCCAAAAAAATCCCCAAAATTCCCCAAAAACCCAAAAAAAATCCCAAAAAATTCACAAAAAAATTACAAAACAATCCTAAAAATCCCCAAAAAATTCACAAAAAAACCTACAAAATAATCCAAAAAATCCTAAAAAAATCCTTAAAAATCCCAAAAAAATTCACAAAAAAATTACAAAATAATCCAAAAAAATCCCTAAAAAAATTAAAAAAAAATCCCTAAAAATCCCCAAAAAATTCACAAAAAAATTGCAAAATAATCCAAAAACCCCCCAAAAACATCAAAATTAATCCCCAACCCTTTAATTCCAGAAGCTCCAAACGCAGCAGCAAAACCCCCGCGGCCGCTCCGCCTCCGACTTTGGCCGATTCCGAGGAAGAGGAAGAATCCAAACCCATGACCTACGACGAAAAACGTCAGCTGAGCTTGGACATCAACAAACTCCCGGGAGAAAAATTGGGAAGAGTCGTTCACATCATCCAATCCCGGGAACCTTCGCTCCGAGATTCCAACCCCGAGGAGATCGAGATCGACTTCGAGACATTGAAACCGTCGAC